TAATATTTTCTGCTCTTCACACAACTGCACTTACAATTTATGGAGGCATTTGTCGGCATGGAAGTAACAGATAAACAGATGGGACACACCATGACTCAAAATTCATGCACTAAATCTGCTTCTTCATGATATTCATGATGTAAATGAACAATTTCACATTGGCCCTAACATAACACATAAAGTGATCATGTCTATAGAAAGGCCTTAATTTATGGAGATCCTATTCGAAGGCCAGACAAAGGCCTTAGTGTGGTATTGAGCTGGTTGGATGGTCTCACAACAGACACAAAAACCACCAGCTTAGTGAGAATCAAATTAACTCTGCCATGAAAACACCAACATTAGTATCGAAAGATAGGGAATTATCTCTTACAAAAACATATTCGGAAACTTTGAAACATTCACTCCACTGATGGTTCCATGCTACATAATGCTTTCCTCCCATGAGCGATGGGGCAGCCTACAGGACTCTCTGACAAACCCACGATTCAAACTAGGTAATATTAAACCTCGGTCCTTCCTCAGCATGTTTAAAACCAGCCAAGCATGAAACTGACAATTTAGTCAGCTGACTGCATGGAGATGTACCAGATTTTACCACATACTTAGCATACTCGAATTCAAATTTCCATACATTTTAGTCAATTTACATCCAATGATGGCACCAGTAACAGTTGATGGGTGTATTAAATAAAATGTCACCGCTTACTGAGATATGCAGAGGTCAGACAATTTCACATGGTGCTCGAGAGAGGTGGTATTTCTCACCTATACCATATCACAACTTTTTATCATGTGTTTCCGATCTCACTTAAGTTTAAAACAGGGTTGGTAATTTGTTTTAAACAACGCTTTTTCTGGAGAACTAAATGGTTTTTGATACATAGTTTCATCTGTGCTCTCCTTTGGTCGTAAAAGTGAGAGGTACTGAGAAGAATGTCAGTCAGCAACTTAAATAAGGTCTGTCACGTAACCGGAACCAAATATATCACTGTTAAAGGCCTTATATATGACTTACACAGACTCTGATATTCACTGTTTTATGGTTACTGTAGACCACTGACAGTGTTAGGGGTATCTTTCATGGACTGAGATACTGCTGTTATAGAAAACATTAACGTCAGTTTCTATATACAAGGTGGTGGGGTAGCCTAGTGGTTAAAGTGTTCACTTATCATGCCAAAGACTTGGGTTCAATTCCCCACTTGTACATTGTGTGAAGCCCATTTCTGGACTACCCCCACCATGATATAGCTGGAATATTGCTAAAAGTGGCATAAAACTACTCACTCACTATAGATGTAAATGACAAGAAAAGAACAGTGGGGTTTTCAACATCAAGTGAGTGAGTGAGTATGGTTTTACGCCGCTTTTAGCAATATTCCAGCAATATCACAGCAATATCACGGCGGGGGACACCAGAAATGGGTTTCACATATTGTACCCATGTGGGGAATCGAACACGGGTCTTTAGCGTGACGAGCCAACGCTTTAACCACTAGGCTACCCCACCGCCCCTTTCAACATCAAGAACTTCAGCTTTTTTTAAACAAAATGCCGAGTAAGCTAAAAGAGTGAAACAATGATAACAGGGTATGCAAGGTCAGAGGACTAGGATTGGGAGTTGGGGTGGCACAAGGTGAAGGTTGAACGAACTGTATAAGGAGGGGTATGATAATGGATCAAGATGTTCTTAAGTTTATGGTGAACTTAAATAAGTCAGAGGTCGGTTTGTACACTTATGAGACATCATGGTGACAGCGAACACTAGACCAGACATTGTTCCTATCTTGAGAATCAAGTCCAGACAGAGAGTCCCCCATGAAACACCCCGACCAGTAAGGAGACCAACCAATCTATAGAAATATACTGAAAACCAAATCTAAAGCCACTTGCCAAAACTTAAACAGTTGAAAATCCTATGTAACGCAATCAGTAATAACTGCTGCAGAAACTTACAATTAGACAGAGCAAACCAGTGGGTTATAGCATGAGCAATTCAAAGCATCAGTTACACACATAAACTAAAGTAACCAGACATCATTCAAAATTAACGCAGTCCAGGAATGAGTGAGTGAGCATGGTTTTACGCTGATTTTAGCAATATTCCAACAATATCATGGTGGGGGACACCAGAAATGGGCTTCACACATTGTACCCATGTGGGGAATCGAACCTGGGTCTTTGGCAGGACGAGCAAACGCTTTAACCACTCGCCTACCCAACTGCCCCAGGGAGTCCAGGAAACCTTGCCTTATTATCTTAAATTTCATAACACTCAAAAAGGTGATCTTTGAACATTTGGGTTATGACAAGCCCATGACAGCTGACTTCAGTTCAAACATATACTTTTCTCATTTTAGTATGATCATATGACAAGCAAGATGGTGAGTCATTTGGGTTTCAATGAAACTTTTGAAACAGCCTACCAATATCAGGGTTAGGGACACAAGAATTGGCTTCAGAGATGTTAATTACCCCTGTGTGGAATCAAACAAAAGCTTTGACATGATAGGCAAACGCTTTAACCACAAGGCTAACCACAGTCCACAAACCCATATAGCTGGTAACATCATATGAATCCTGCAGTAATAAGCTGAGCTAGTTTGTTACATCGAGGCCTGAAAGCAGTAGCCCGACAATGCAACACCGAGTGCAGCGTAAGCCGCTGGCGCAGCAGGTAGCATCTGCGCTCCCCCCCTTTACCCCAGACGGTTAAATAAACAGTATGCACAGCATGGGTAGATACTGCATAGCACTCAGACTTAGCTGTTAACTGAAAAATGTAGGCCACAGGTAGGCAGACAAAAACTACCTGTCACAGTCTGTCCTTAAGTAGACAAGGGCCACTGCACTAAAAGCATTATGTCTACAAACTTTGTTGCTTTTCAGTCAACAGGCATTTTGATGTGGTGTACGAGAATATATACACCAGTTTCATGTGGATAAATTTTCATAACTGTCTGTATTACCTAAAAATTCTCCCATTAAGTTAACAGGCATGTCGATATGGTGTATGAGAATATATACACCAGTTTCATGTGGATAAATTTTCATAACTGTCTGTATTACCTAAAAACTCTCCCATTAAGTTAACAGGCATGTCGATATGGGGTATGAGAATATATACACCAGTTTCATGTGGATAAATTTTCACCACTGTCTGAATTACCTAAAAACTCTACCTTTCAATTAACAGGCTTGTCAGAATGGTGTATTAGAATATATATACCACAGTTTAATATGGATTTCTTTCACATTGTCTGCATTACCTAAAAACTCTACCTTTCAATAAACAGGCATGTTTGATAATATATATACCAGGTTCATATGGGTAATCTCTCACACTGGCTGTGGTACCTATACTTTCTTGAAGTTTCTTCTAAACCTGTTATACTAGAACAGTCACAGAAATTGCTGAACATACATTATTCTTCTCCTCCTCAGTAAAAAAAGGTCTCCTGGTACCCCTGGCAATAGCCAAATAGTGTCTCACTTTTTAACATATGGGTTATCGTGTGAGAGATACGAAATGTACTACCCAGGATCTATGGAATCCTTACGAAATAAATCCCTCCTGACTCACTAAATTCCCCAAAAGAGGCAAAAGATTAAAAATGTAATAGATTGTTCTCTATCATCAAACCTATCTTGAATTAAAACTATTTGTATTTCCAAAATATTATTCTAATAAACAGGACGCTTATGAGGAAACCAGTTCCAAGCACACATGGAAATGTCTACTTCAGGCTTAGATTTCATAAGTATTTCTTTGTACAATGTTCTGACACTTTCGTCAACACTGTGAACACTTCTTACAGGAGTGAAATAACAAAATAGTTTCACCCACCAAACAGGGTTCTAAGACAGGTTCTAAAATTGTCAGAATAGGCCAAGTTCAATCGGCTAAAAGTCACCCTTTGACAAGGACATGAAACTGTTGACTCAACAATTCACAAAAAGTTGCTTTGACAACTCCTTGTTTTGAGTGCAATCTTTTTGTGTTGTCCTTAAGGAAAAACTGACATGTCTGCCATGAAATAAATAACTTGGAATTTACAAATGACTTTTTGTTACGGTATTTACAGGTTATTGTATCAAGCATACCCACTGTTGCATGTATAGTTTAATATATATTATTATAGCTTCTTTGTATCTTTACCAGAACTACTACAAGACACTGCTGTGTGATCATGTCAAGTAGTTTTCCATGATATCACTCAGTCACAAATGAACAAATACCTTTAAACTGGAGGAGATTGTGTTTATTCATGTGTTCCCCGATTCCTGGTCAAATAGTTTCAGATATTCTGAAGACGTGAATGTTATTAATAAAGATCTTTGGACCATAGCCCGGTGTACTGAAGGAACATTCCGCAATGAATTAAACTGTATTGTTGAAGGGAACGGCCATATACACATGAGCGATTCTCTCGTCTAACAGCAGTAGGCATAAGCCTGTCTGCTTGCCCAGTGAATTTCCTTGCTGTCAAAACGAAGTTGTTAGCAAGTAACGCTGCTCTGGGGAGGTTTGTAACATTTACCGGGGCGTATGAAATCATCAGAAATACTTAAACTTTCTTCGAAATCTAACCACGAAGTACAGATCTAAAGTGTTTAAACTGCGATTAACCCCTCGAGATGTTGTGGCACTGGGGTAAGGTGACTGACTTGACAGGCAGTCAAATAGCAGACGTAACACTGTCGTCTGCAACACTACCTCCATGAATACGTATATCACCCATAAGTGGGGCAACCCTTATTTACAGACAGCGTTTATCTATAAGGTAGTTTTTCAGCCACAGTCATATAATTCACCATCTTAAACACTAACTACCTCCACCTGTGACAGTGCGTTACAGCGAGGGAGGGGACAGTAGTTAGTATACATGTGTCGTCTGTCAACCGAGCAACGACTGTCCTAGATTCGTCTGTCTGTATACAGACACGAAAGGGGCATTGGGCATGTATAGATGGGTTCAAATAAACATTAAACTTACCTGAGAAAACATTGTCGCCTTGACCGAGAGACAATGGTACTAACCCCATCCACATCACACTCCAAAAAATAGCCCTGGAAAGAAAGAGACTTTTAGTGCACTTTTCACGATATAATCCACACGAAAAGTTGGTTAAATATCCACGAATGATTCCAAAATACCTTAGAAGCATTTTGCCGGGTTTGAAGGAAACGCGCACATGCAAACGCCTTGACGTTTCCGCATATAGGTATATCCCTTGCTCTCTGCAACACCCCTTCTCCCTCCGAACCTCACCGACTGCAATCAGCACGTGTGAAAGCGATTGCTTGGACGAGTCGACTAGCTGACCTCATGGGGGTGGCGGGTCACGCCGTCTGACGTAAGCCTAAAATAAACAGTTAGCTGTTCGGCAGTCGGCTACCCCAGGATCATTCATAGAAGTGTCTGCTACTGCCTTAGACTCGACTCGTCTTATAGTCGAACATTCACGGACTGTCGTGACTGCTTCAGCACCGCTCTACCTAGTTCTCCCCGGTCTGCACGTGAGTCGGGATGATTTGACGTTTAGAGACGACGTTTGAAGAACCGCTAGAACATGTCTCAATTTGATCGTGCTGAGATCAACTTGTGAAGTAACGCAGCTCTCTAGTGCAAACCGCTCTGTACCTTGTTCTATAAATTAATCAGTGTAAACAGCACATATCTTAAAGCGCAGTAAGTTTATTATCCAATTTTGCAGCGCGGGTGTCGGGGCGACTTGCCCTGGTTTCCGAGTTTAGCTTATTAAACTGAACTAATAGCTAGCAGGTAGACGAATGAAATCAGCCTAGAGGCACGTACTCCCGACATTGTACACCCAATAGCAAATACCAATAGTGTATGTTTCGTTTGACATGCTGATTTTACGCTTTCAATAAAAAGTGGAAATTTCCTTTAGCACCTAAAGGCTTGCGATATAGCTTCATTGTGAAAACAGAATAATTCATGGATTGTGTAAATTCCCAGGCTGTGATTGACCTGGAAGTTATTTTAGTACGTGCACCAGTATATTACTCTCATCCTTTAATGAATATGAAAGGGGAAGGTATGCTCCACTCTTCCAGTCTTGCTAGGGCTGTAGGCGTTGTAATACGACCACACGCGAACCTTGGTCATTGTCTCTGTATAATATGAGCAATTCTAACCACCAGGTTAATATGAATTATAAATTTTATGTTTTATAAACATAAATCAGTTTGAAAATTGGCCAAACTTAGACCCATTTTATTCAAGATTTTGTTTACCGTTATCGTTTTCCCACTGCCCAACGTGCAAGCACCTCTTCATTCTTACATTGGTCAGTAGACGGAGCCTAGTTTGAACGCAACTGATTTCGCTGGCGTTATTTGAGGTATGAGAACAATTCTCTCAGGTTTTACACACAAAATATATTTGTGAGCTATATACACGTGCTAAACGTCCTGCCAGTAAAAAATGTGTTGAAAGAAATCAGATGCATGGACTGATCCTCATTTCAGAGAACAAAATGTATAGAATGTTTACCAACTGTGTGATGTGTGTGGATGGTGTGTAGGAGTAAAGGAAGGATACTTTTTGTCTTTTTTCTTTTCTTTTGTGATTGTTGTAGTCGTTTGGGGGGAGAGGAGGGGGAGGCTGGAGGTAGCCTTGTTGTCAGGGCTGCCTGAATGCACGAACCACCCTCTGGCATTGTCGTTACCAAGCTCTATGTATCTTGCATGTGTCGATGGGGGTAGGCGTGAGTGTGGGGTGGGCGTGAGTGTAGGGGTGGAGGTATCCTAAGCTGATGCCCCCTGCTGACATTGACATAGACGTCACCTAGCTGGTTCCCCCGTCATCGATCCCACATCTCGAGTCACCGGCCCGCTCCCCTCAGGAAATTCTTACAACCCCCTACATATGGACATCAAAACACAATAGCTTTCCATGCTGGAGTCGATTAAAATATCCATGCTTGTTGTACTTCCGACAGAATGCGAACTGACTGGGTCAGCGTAGGTCTGAGACGGGGGACGAGTTTGGCGCCGGTGAATTTATATAGTGAGTGAGTGAGTTAATACTTAGCGTTACTATATAGTTTTTTGTGTGAACATTTATATATTACAGTGATTGACTGATGAGTGTACTTATACTATCAGTCAGATAGTCTTGGATGTTTCACAATTTAACTTGCATGGGTGACGGGCGTATTTGTTCACACTTTCATTTACAGTGAGGAAGGTTAATATCACAGAGCCTCGTCTGAATTTGAATGAGTGTTGTTTTACGCCGTTTTATGAAACCGTACAAAAACGAGTAAGTGAGTGTTGGTTTACGCCGCAAGCAGCTCACTGTAGGGAAAAACGGAAGTGGGCTTCCCACATGTGAGGACTCGAACCCGAGATTTCGGAGTGACAAACGAACGCTGTAACCAGTAGACTACCCAACTTCCTCTGAATGATTGAAGACAACCGTTGATCAACTAATGAGTGAGTGGGTGAGTTTAGTTTTACGCCGCACTCGGCAATATTCAAGCTATATGGCGGCGGTCTGTAAATAATCGAGTCTGGACCAGACAATCCAGTGATCAACAGCATGAGCATCGATCTGGGCAATGGGAAACCGATGTCAGCGAGCCTGACCATCCGATCCCGATAGTCGCCTCTTACGACAAGCATGGGTTACTGAAGATCAATTCTAACCCGGATCTTCATGGGTTCAACTAATGAGGACGGGTACAATATCACAGCGGGGAACACCATAAACGGGCTTCACACACTGCCCCCATGTGAGGAAACGAACCCAATTCGTCGGCGTGACGAACGAACGCATTAATCACTAGACTACCCCACCGCCCCTTAGATCATCGTGAGGACGAACCAACCATCAATCAATGGATCACTGTTGGAACAGTGTTAACTGCATGACGGCGCCTTAAAACATTGAAAACCAATGTTCCCCTTTCCCTGGTTTTGATACAGGATTATATAATAATTACATCAGGTAAAAACACGAGCTACCTTTATTATTGGAACAAACAAACCCGGCGTCAACTGTCGGCGTCTATCTATATCTGTGCTATAAACGCCCAGCAAGGTGGAGGTATAATTTCACGTCAGATAAACGTAATTAGTGTGATTATTTTACAAACCCAGCGCAAAAAGTGTATGGTAATTTTTATATGGATTTATTCTCCACCATCAAATTAAGCATTCATGTCCGTGCGTGCGTGCGCGTGCGTCTCCCTGTCTGTCTGTGTATCCGTTTGTAGCTGTGTTTTCTTTTTTGTCTTGTTTCCCAGTACTTTTTATTTTTTAATGGTCTCTTTTTTTCATCTAAAACCTATCCCACCCTTCAAAAGTACCCGAATGGCCGGTGCTAGGTGCTCCCGTTGTCCAATACTATATGTATCGAGAATATGTTAATTAAGTGTCATCGGAGACCTACTGAACGCATGACACTCCCCGTACCCATAGTACTTCCCCCGTTCTCACGTAAACCTAGCCTTTATGTTATACACCTTATAATAAGTAATACAGGCATTATTATTTATGGTCCGTGGTGGTGTTATGGTCTGGGCCCCCTTGTCACTATCTTCCGGACGGAATCAGTATACCTGTATAACTTCAAATGACCCGCATGTCCTCTGTAACCCCTCCCCCTCGTTATAAGGACGCTCGACTTCTGATTCGAATTCTGTTTTACAAACATATCGTATCTACGGGCGTCTTTTAACAACCACTAACAATTTATGAAAGTCGTAGCGCTACGACCATTTAGCAAATTTGTCCGATCTGCAAAATGCTCGCAGCGTTATGACTGTCGTAACTCTTTAGTTTTCTATATACGCTTACGTATACTTACGACTGTCGTAATATTGCCGATCTACAAAACGCTCGCAGCGCTATGACTGTCGTAACTCTTTAGTTTTCCATATACGCTTACGTATACTTACGACTGTCGTAATATGGCCGATCTACAAAACGCTCGCAGCGTTATGACTGTCGTAACTCTTTAGTTTTCTATATACGCTTACGTATATTTACGACTGTCGTAATATGGCCGATCTACAAACGCTCGCAGCGCTATGACTGTCGTAACTCTTTAGTTTTCTATTTACACTTACGTGTACTTACTACTGCCGTAACGTTACGAACGGTGCCCGTTCGGTTCGTAGGTGCCCGTGGACACAGGTGAGGTTGGTGCATCACATGAGTGGTTAGTAGTACCAGCCTACTTAACGTTGTCGACAGACAAACACCGGACACATGCCGGATTGTGGACATGCCGTCAAGATACTGACGATTTATGCGATGCAGTTTAACCCAGTTTTCTTACGATATACTCTGAAGTACCCAGAAAGGGGAACGTGAGCTGAGAAGTGGGCTGTCGGGGAGTTGTCGTCGGGGTGTTGCAAGCGACTGCGTTGTAGTGCTGTGTTTGTATGACATGAGGATTGCACAACGTAGACCTACATGAAGGCTATGAAATTCTTTTTCTTTTAACGAGGTAATGGAACATTACATTTAAATGACATAGCTCCACACTGCCATGGCTGTGGAATATAGCTATTTTATGATCTACACAGTTTTATTTAACAAAATGCAATCATTCTTTAGTAACGGTGCAGGACAACGATGTCTCGTGGAATATTCAGATTGGACCAAGTTGACAATGTGCTATAAACAGTCTTAAAATATGGAAAAAATATTTTATAAAACATGTTTTCTTATTGAAGAGAAACAATATCCACCAGTATAAGATCTCTTAAATCCATACCTCTCTGCGTGAACCTACGGTACCTACAAAGACGGTAATGTTTGGCTGCTAACTCGCAGTAAGAGTCATCGAAGCATTCACACCTTAGAAAACACACTGAAACGGAAAGTTCCGAATGTAGAAAATATAGCTGCGTCATATACCCTTCGTATCATAGCGCCATGTTATCTGCACATAAAAGGAAATACCATCGAGGGGATGTTTGTGTTCGCTGTGGGTTCTCGCTTATACCAATCGAAATGTCTAAGACAAGTTAGTGAAAAAATGAAGCCGAATTGTTTTTGAAAGCTGATATCTGATTGGATCATGAATCTACGCAATGTTTTAGATATGGAGGTCAAAGTTTGCTCAGGGTTCACCCGACGCGGCCTTCTCTGGAGTTGACCTTATTGGTTAACGGAGAGTTATCGTATCGGAGTAAAATATCTTATTTTAATGAGTGAGTGAGTGTGTATGGTTTTACGCCGCTTTTAGCAATATTCCAGCAATATCACGGCGGGGGACACCAGAAATGGGCTGTACACATTGCACCCATGTGAGGAATCGAACCCGGATCTTCTTCGTGACGAGCGAACGCTTTAACCATTAGGCTACCCCACCGCCCCCTTATTTTATGGGATTGTACAACAGCGTCAAAACGGATAGAGTGGTGAGTCTCGCTGGCTTGTGTGATGCACGTCGTATCACAACTGCGTTAATGGTGATCATGATGTCAATCACTGGATTGTCTAGTTTAGACTAGATATCTACAGACTGCCGTCATATGGGAGGGACAGTGCTGAGTACGGCGTATTCTGTGATGCAAACAAACAAACGAAA